ATTTTTACCGAGACTTGTCTGCATCTGAAGCCGTGTTTACACTACGAGCCTAAGCCTGGCCTAGGTTTGGACTAGATTTTGGTAGTGTCGACTTCGACCGCCAGTAGACCACTAGACCATGCACTTCGACTGCCACTAGACCAAGAAATCTGGGCCACCTTTCCTGATGGGCCCAGATTTCGTGGCCTAGGCCAGGCCGAAGTGCATTTACACCACAAAAATCTAGTCCAAAGGTAGGCCAGGCTTAGGCTCGTAGTGTAAACACAGCTTGAGAATTACCTAACTGGCGCCCAACATGGTGTGTTTACACCAGATACTGTACCTGGCTAAAGCCCTGAGACAAATCAAAATAGATCATTACATACACATAACATGAAGTAGTGACTTTGAAGAAGTAAATAAACATAGAAATTGGTCAGAAATTGGCTTCAATTGACCTGTATTTAAACTATTAACCACTTGAAGGCAAACTCAATTTAACAACACATTCCAAATACTTTTATGTCTAGTTGACATCTACATATTAAACTATGAAAATGTAGCATGAGAGCCTTGCCTTACAAAGCTTTTATTTCATGTTGTTCACTTGCCTTTGGTGGCAAACTATTAAATGTCCGAGAGTGAATTCCAAATTTATAGCAACAAATATTACTATTATACATAGTGTAAGCGGGTCTTTATAGAGTTATCTGGTTTTTGCCGTGAAGAGTATTGAATATTTAGATTATGTCAAGGATGAATATGTAACAGCTTCAAAATGCCGCAAACGAACAATTTATGCATATATTTACCTGTCTTCTTTCACGAGCTGAAATCGCCTGAACTTGTGGCCCTGAAACAACGCAATCTTGACTAGGTATCGCGCCTTTCTTCAGCCATCTCTTAGTCGTGAATTTTTCCGGTTCTTGTGGATTAAAATCAAGCCGTTGTTCAAAATCTGTGACCTTGAAATGTGCTGAGCAAAGCACCGAAGTGCTTGATGGCTGCCATTGCGGACGATGTCTTTGGACAAAACAAGCCCATTTTGGTCGGACAGAACTATCGCTAGGGAAGCGATGCATCGAAATTCCTTCTGTTTTCGAATTGTTTTTGCAACTGACTTTTCCAGGTCCGCCTGCAACACAATACTTTCCAAGAGATTTCCCTTTCGCTCGGCTGTTTTGAGTCTCGGCCATAACAAATTGACAAATTCACCTTTGGAATGAACGCGCGAGTACAACCAGTGACGTCACGCCATCAATTTGACCGCGCCGTGAGATGGGACAAACAAAGGTCATAGATGGCACACTTTGTAGCTTAAAAAATCGACTTTAAAGAATCGCGGGGCGAAAATAAAATACAGCATGATATTCAGCGTACTTTAAACTATAAATTCAGCACAATTTCAGAAAAAAATTTCAGCCGTTTCATAAACACTTTTAACCGTCACATTGACATCCCTACAGTTTACTTACAACTGAAACGCCGACACAAATCTCTTAATTCATCTTCATTAATCTTTAACCCACCATCAACTTCCTTCCCTACACCGTTTCACGATAACATAGTCGTAGGGACCCATGCACTACCCAGTTATCCAATATATATGCCGGTGTCAATATTAGCGAGCTTAATTAGTGTAGGTCGGGAACAAGAAAGCAAACAAACTCATTAGTGAAGCAAATGATTGCAGAAGAAAACCTGTCGTCTATCCATCCGGCGTATGAAAATAATACAGTTCAGGGATCAAATTTAACACAGGGTTAATGATTCAGAAAAGTTCTAGGACCCAATAGAACGTCGTATTTGTCCCAGCTTGAAATGTAAGCGTAATTCCACGACGAGCGAAATGCGGAAAATTTCGCGCGAAAACCGCACACTTGTGCGAAAATTTTCTCTCGTCGCCAAAACACAAGCATTTGATTGATTTCGTTATTTTTTCATTCAGAACACAAGCATTTGATTGGTTTCGCTATTTTGTCATTCAGAACACAAGCATGTGATTGGTTTAATTTCGCTATTTCCATTTCGCAACGGAGTAGAAACGAATTCAACTACCTGGCGAAGAGAAATATTTCGTAGAGCGGAAACAATCCAAAATCATGTTGCGCATGCGTTCAACCTTTTCGCGCAAAATTTTTCGCATTTCGCTCGTGGAATTTGGCCTTTACACATATACAAGACGTGATAATCTGTATTTTGCCTTTATACACAGAGCAACGGCGACGTCTAAAACCTCCGAGGGATCGAGTTTAATTATTTATTTTTGCTCATTTTCTTGTATTAATATATGATATTATTAACCGTCCTCGTTGCACTTTCGTCCGGCCTGTTGACGTTCTTAGTATAATTTTAAAACAGTAGTTCTTTATACTTTTGAAAGTCACGTCCCCGTACTAGATTATAAGCCTTGTATGCTTATAAAGTTAGCTATTAAATTACATCGTGACCCACAGTTATATTCCGAGAGAGTTTGTAATCCTTGCGGTAGAAAAATGCGAAAGTGCACTTTCGAAATCTTCCAATGTGGACATGTTGTGATTTTGGCACGCATCAGCAAGACAAAAAATTTCATGCAATATCGCGTTACCAGAAGTAAAGAGATAGTGCTAATTATCGCGGACCAATCAGAATACTGCGTTCGCTGGAGAACGCATTATTTTTTTTCTGTTGGACACGACTGCAGGCGTTTCCTTAGCCTAAGCCCTTAACCAAAACGAGTGTTCTGCAGGCTATGCCAACTATGGCTATAGTATGGCATTTTAAGAGAACGATGCTTTGCATGCTATTTCATGGGTTAATTAAATGTACTTTTGCCTGCCAAAAAGCTAGTACACTATACTGCATACACAATAGAATGGCATGTGCATTATTTAAGCATGCAACGCAACTATAGGGGCAAGTCAGTGGGATTGAAGCATGTGCATGGAATATTTTGTTATCATTAATCATGCGGTTTTGTTTTGTTATGTTAGGCCTGTGTCGAATGATTAAAAACAAGGTCCTCAACTCTAGTTTTCGAAGTAACGTAGCTTTAATTCGACGTCGACCTTGGATGCAAGTTTTGCTCCATGTTGTTCGATATTCAGTTCTTAAACGACTTCGCATTAATTAGATAAATTCGAAAGAAAGGCAAATTGGCAAAGAATTGTATTCAAGCGAAGTAAAACATCAGCCCGCCCACGGTATACAGGGTGTCCCCCAAACCCCCCAAAACTATTGGAATAACGTATTGTTAGAATTTGAATGCCCTAGCACTAAGCTGAACGCAAAGATGCGTAAATTATTGACATGCAGGGTGCAAATATTAAATATTGACTTATTAAGAAATTAAAATATTTTTGTAAAGCTCACGAATTTCTGCTCTTGGGAATTTAAAGCTAACAACTTCTTATTAAATTAAACAGTTTCTTTATGCATAAAATTTACTTATGTCAAGCTGTTATGCACTTTTGCGTTCAGCAAAATGCTGAGTCATTCAAATTATTTCAACGTTATTTCAATCGTTTTGGATTTTATGGGGATACCCTGTATATGAGAAACATTAAAGCGGTCACAGACGAGCAAGTTTTCTATGACGAGTTTCCAGTATGTGACAAGTTTTATTTGTTCGTCTGTACGCGCAACTTTGACAATTTTATCTATGACAAATGCACTTGTTCAAAAGCTAGCATGCTAGCTTTTGAACAAGTGCACTTGTCATAAAAAAATTGTCAAAGTACAAACTTTGTTCGTCTGAAAACTTGTCAAGTAATCTGAGCATTCGATGTGATTGGCCAGCGGACCATTATAATTTTTCTGTCGTGGCGGCGATAAACACCTTACGTTGGACTGATTTGGGAATAACAAATCTGTTAAAATTGCTCTGCAGATCTAGAGCTAGAGAGTTTATGGAATATTAAGTCAGAATCTTTTCACGTGCTCGCGTTTTCCGCTGTACTATTACATTGCTGCTGGGCTAACAAGGGGGAATTTCGTTCCCGACCAATCAGCGCATTTGTTGACAATTTTTCTCTTAGCCAATCAGAATGCGTAATTGGTTATTGTAGGTAGTTTCCCTGCGAGCACGGAAACCCAATTCCGGTAAAAACATACATTTGAACGGAAAATATAAGGTCTTAAATGAAGCTTCGAGGGGGTTAGGATTTTCAAATGTTTTTATTGGATTCAAAGTGACAAGGTAAAATAAGAAATTTTCTAAACATTTGCCGCTGGGATTTGCGTTTTATTGCCTAGTTCTAAAATTATCTGCATTCGAACTTACGCGCTTTTTATACGCCGCTGTTCGAATGCCGATAACTGTTTTTGTAATTAAAAGCATTGAATAATCTGTGTGGTCTTAAAATAATTGTTGAGTCATGCATTGAATGATATTGTGGTTTAGTAAAAAGGTTCCAAAAATGGGTACAAGCTTCCATAGTATTGTCGTTCTGATGTCACAGATATTAGAGTAACGGTAGGATAGTAAGATTAAGAAAGAGTTTATGGTTAGATTCTCATGTTTCGCCCACGATAAAGTCAGGTTAGGGATGGGTTTCGGTTACGGTCAAGATCAAAGAAATATATTTGCGACCTAAACAATGATTTATTCATCATATTTACAATAATGACGTTACAACGATTAAGTTAGTGTTGAGCTTACAGTTACGATGAGTTAGGAGCTTACGATTGTATTTAAACTGGGGTTGTTAATATGGAAAGGTGGTGCCGTTTTGATATATCGTCAAATTAAGGAGCAAGTCAGCATTTACTACTGATAGGTATACTAGTATGATTCTTATTTGATTATGTATTTTATTATTTGTTACTATCAGTCATTAAAATCATTGTTGATAGGGACACTGGCGCAAGTTAAAATTTCTTAAGAACAACTACCAGTACACGGTGCACATGCATGATTCTGATTCTGAGGTTTTCAGCTTAAAATTGTCGAGTTTTGTGAGCCAAAAATATAATAAAGCCATAACTCATAAGCCAGCCTACTAATCGGCATCTATAGTAATTCATGGCTGATGCATGGCTCACCACATTGTTGTTGTCTCGGATTCTATTCCACTTACTTTCACAGCTAGTACCATTCCCTGAATATCCCATATTGCAAACACATGCAAATGAGCCATCTGTGTTATTACATTCAGCATTATTGTGACAGTTGTCAATTTGAAGAACGCATTCATCAATATCTGCAAAATATCATAAAAAATAATTATAAAATACAGTGTACATGTGTTACTAGAATAATGTAGCAAATTGCTTGGGGGGGGGGGAGGGCTCAAAATTTCCCGACCCCCAAACTAATTTTTGCGAGAAACAATTACAGACGCTTTATCGTAACTGTCTCCTCCCATAAAAATTCAAATAATTAAGTTTGCTATGAAAACAAACCCTGGATGAGACAATTACTGGGGGCGGGGAGAAAAAGACCCCCTAGCTATCTTGGGAATTATTACTTTATGAGTTTATGGGCGTGTGGCCCATGGGCCCATGTGCTATTGTTTAGTGCATTTACATTTTAAGGTGTAGAGAAAGTCTAATAATTAATCCAAATACAAATCATTTGGAACTTCATTAATATTTGAATATAATAGAGGCTATAGTAAACTGACCTTGGCAACTATTTCCATCTCCTGAGTACCCAGTATTACAGGTGCAGTTGAATGAACCTTCAGTATCTGTACACGTAGCGTTGTGGTGGCAATCGTGACGTTCTTCAGAACATTCATTAACATCTAGATTTACATTGCAATGAACGTGGTTATCATCAGCATGTCAGTTGCAATCAATAGACCTTTTCCCTTTTAAGTGAAATTTTGATCTAGACAAGTCTGGACAAAAATTTCATCACAGCTTGAAAGAGCATCACAAAATTAATATTCCGAAGTTTCGTTGCAAAATGTTGTAAAATGCGGATAATATATAGCCTTGCGAAGTTTGCCGTTTTTCAGTCATTTTGCATTACAATCTAACATTTTGCATCAGTTTGATCATCTGATGCAAAATGTTAGATTGTAATACAAAATGACTGAAAAACAGCAACTTTCGCAAGGCTATATTATCCACATTTTACAACATTTTGCAACGAAACATCGGAATATTACTAATTTTGTGATGCTCTTTCAAGCTGTGATGACATTTTTGTCCAGGCTTGTCTAGATCAAAATTTCACTCATAAGGGGAAAGGTCTATTGACAATTGAGTTTTTCATGAATAACTATGCTGCATCATTTAGACTGCCTTGCATGCATCATTAGGCTCCACCAAATATTTGGGAATGTTTTCATGCATGATTATTTGAAAACATGGAGACCAGCCCAGAGCACACACGGACACGGTAACCAGTCTAGACTTGATTGGCTAATATGCATGTCTGTTTCATTTGAATAGATAGTCTGTCTACATGCATTTTACGAATACCATATTTTTGTCCACTTACTTTCACAAATAACACCATTCTCGGTATATCCTTCATTGCAAATACATACAAATGAGCCATCTGTGTTATTACATTGAGCATTACTGTGACAGTTGTCAAATTCAGGAGCGCATTCATTAACATCTGTGAAATATCATAATAAATAATTATAGAATAATTATATTCATGCCTTTGGTGTTCCTGTAATAAAAAACTTTAATATTATTAATAACATTATATAGTAATAGCAGCCAGTAATAATAAAACTAATAAATATAAAATAAACTGTGTTTACTACAACGATAAACTTCGCTTTACATGTAATTTATCAGTGTCTATATTTCAACACTGACCCTAAATGATACAATAATTGGATCAGACAATCCTAAACGGGAAATTTAAATGCTTTCCGCGTGGGCATTTTAAAATGTCGGACAATGAAAACGTGAATTATACGAACTATACAAGTATTATATAGTAATTGGCCATTGAGGGCGGGCTCGCGTTAATCTAATCCGAAATGTTTCATAAAAGGTTTCATTCACTTAAAAAAATTATTGAGTAATTTCAGTTCGGTGTCGAAATTAATTTGGTAATGGTAATGGTAATGGTTTATTAACACATTTAGTAGTAGTTACGCTAATTTACAATGTGTTTACAAATTTGGGTATAAAAAGGTATATATTCTATATATTTACATGTCATTCATTAAAATTAAAGTTTTACTAATCTATATCTATTTACAATTATGCATACCTATTTGTACATTAACTGATAAAATTTTAAAAATGATGATCCTAATCAACTAATCTAGAATTATATAAGTATATACAGTAAACTGAAGGACTGTGTTTAAAACGTTCGGTTTTAGAGGGGAAATTATATAATTTCTGACTGTTAGTTCTTCTTTCTTTTTGCCTAATGTATTTTAGTTTCTTTGGTAAGAGGCTATAAAGTTTATGGTTTGGTTCCAGCATTTTTTTAATTAGAGATACACATAATTCGTCCCTACGTTCTTCCAAAGTTTGTAATTTTGTCTCAGTTATTGCTTGGTCGTAGTCTAGGTTTGGGTAAATTATTCTAAGTACTCGTTTTTGAATTCGTTCAATGCTCTTTTTCTGCTCTTGGGTTAGACCTCCGTTCCAAATCTCTGCACCATATTCTAAAATAGGACGAATTACTGAACAGTAAAATGCTAACAAATCATCCATGGGGGCACCATAACTCTTCAAGATCTTTAATAAATACAGACGCTTGGCCGCTTTCTTTGTAATATATTCCGTATTAGTTTTCCATTTAAGATCGCAATCTAACCATATTCCCAGTAACTTATATGACTTCGTTCGAGAAACATTATGACCACCAACATAAATTGTATGGAGGTTATATTTTTCCTAAAGTCAATAATCATCTCCATACACTTTTTATAGTTTAGTTCCATTCCTTCGTCCTTTGCAAACTGTACCACCTTGTCTACGTTCATTTGAGTATTACCGATTGGGATGCCACCTAAATGGTCACTGACATTGATTACTTCCGATAATGTTGTGTCATCCATAAACATCGCTACGTCCTGGTCTTCTACGGCATTACATATTTGATCTTGGTTATTGGGTATAATAGACGTTGGTAATTGGTTTATTTTTATTATAAACGCAGTAGGACCCAACTTACTCCCTTGTGGAACGCCTCCCTTGATTCTTTTACAATCAGACTGTTCTCCATGGAAAGACGTTACTTGTGATCTGTTATAAAGATATGATGCAAACCAACCAACCATAGCCGGACGAACGCCGATTTGCAGCACATTATGATTGATCAAGTCAAATGCCTTTCGAAAATCAAGAAACGTAATACGAACAATTCTTTGGGGGCTTTCCATTGCCATATGCCATTTATGTAACAAATAAATCAACGCATGTATTGTAGATGTTCCGGGCAGACCGCCAAATTGACTGCTACTGATTTTATCATAAACATCCTCATAAATCCAATCATTAACGTATAATTCTTGTACCTTTGATAATGTAATCGTTAATGAAATAGGTCTTAAAAGGTCTACCCTAGAGCAGGGTTTACTTTTAGGAATCCCACACACCCTCGAAATTTTCCAAATTTCTGGGAATACTCTGCAAGTAAATGATTCGTTAAAGATGTAACATAACGGCTCGGCGAAGTATTTTGCGAATGTTTTTATTATCTTTACATTCGGATCGAACGGACCGCTTGCTTTATTCGGGTTAAGTTTACTTAACTTATTTGCTACACTATCTGCAGTGATGTTCGGTAGTTGTTCTACCATTCCAACATTAAACCAGCTATCATGTACTTCCGAGTAATTACTAGTAAGACTAGTAAAATATTCGTTCATCAGATTAGCTGTGTCTTTTGAATTTAGTGGGGTATCAGACTGTGGGCCATTTAGAATAAATTCCTGTTTACTCTGTCCAGTAATGTTTTTTATATTTTTCTACCACTGCTTTGAATTGGAACAACGAGCAGGTTTGATTTTTTCACTGTAATATTTCTGCTTCTCTTTCCGAATTTCTGAGGTAATTTTATTACGAAGCGATCTGTATTCTTCCATTCTCCCACGTTGGTACATTTTATTTCTGTTAGATATCATTTGTTTAATCCTCCCAGTCATAAAGGGTTTGTCATCTTTATGGACCTTGACAATTTTTGTTGGAAAACAGTTATCAATCATTGCATTAGTAATCGATAAAAAGGCGTTCACTTTGGTGTTAATACACGAGGCCTCGTAAACCGCTGACCACGTCTCTAGACCGATACAGTCTTCAAACAAGCGCAACCTCGTTTCTTTAATGGGTCTCACTGTAATCTTTTTTATCTCATTTTTACCCCGAGCTTGTTCTTTCGATTTCCACATAATAGCGCTGTGGTCTGAACAGCCAATCGGTGCCAGAGATACTGGTGTTTCATAAAACGAATGTGCATTGGTCAGGATTAAGTTTATATATATATATATATATATATATATATATATATATATATATATATATATATATATATATATATATATATATATATATATATATATATATGGTGTCTCACCAAAAAAACTTGCGCTGTTTGATTTAATGTAACATAAAAACTATAAAAGCTATTGCACTCAAGTAAGTTTAATTGCATTCAGAAAGGGCTAACTTAGATTTTGATATATGACATTTGAATATCCGTCAATATTTACTGAGCTATCGATGTTTTAAATCGAATAAGCATATATTTGACAATGTTAAAAATTTGCATAAAATTGCCAATCAAATATTATTTGGTTAAACTTGATTATACAGTTTTATTGTGGCCAAAAGAACGAATAAAAAACATAATTGTTGGATAAACATTTATTCATTTATCATAGAAAGTATGTCCCCTTGCACGTATACAATGTCTTGCACGGGAAAACATAAAAGCCAAACTCTTTGATCTTTTGTTAATCGAAGCATATTCGAAAGGCGAACGAGGACCAACTTTATAATACGAACTCTCAAAGGACGTCAAATATGCTTTCGAACGTTTTTAAATTTTTCATGCTTATTTCGCTTCCCAAGAAACACGAAAGGTTAACTTATACTAAGACATTACCCGAAATTAAGGTTGAGTTGAAATGCTGAAATTGAATTGTTAATTTTTATGGAAAATGGCAATTTGTTTTCATATAAATTTGATCACCATGCATGTTTCTCGATTTTTTTACTCATTTTTAAAGCGTGCGCCACATTCAAACGTTTGTATCTCACGTTATATTACATGACATTTTTAGGGCTGTATATCAAAATCTAAGTTAGCCTTTCCTCAATACAATATACCTTATTTGAGTGTAATAGCTCTTATAGTTTTTACCTTACATAAAATCAAACAGCGTCCAGTGTATATCAGCCTTGAGTTGCCATTTTCGCGTCGAAGAGCCAAAAATATAGACTTTCGGAGAATATTTTAGCTGTTTACTATGAAATATGTTTGTGTGACAGTTGATAATCTTACTGACAAAGGCCAACGGTTTCTAAAAAGCTAAAGTACGTCGAAATCAGCTTTGGAATAGACTATATTTTCACTGGGGAAACATGAACTAAATGGATACTTACATCAACAGTGAATTTTGCTCATGCCTACAGAGCTAGTTGGATTAAAACGGATGTTTAGAAGTAAGTGACAATGTGAACTTTGTGAGTTATACTTTCATTAAAATGTTCCAGAAGGTCTCCTAATGCCAAACTACACGTGTGACAGAGCTGTGAGTATGCCCACATTTCAATGTTTATGTTGAAATGACCCATCTTCTTTCAGGCATAGTTTAAAAATTAGGGTATGCTCATCACTTAAAACTAGCTTTAAATCAAAGTTTTATCTATAGTCTTTTTAATAGAATTAAAATCATTCATGGGAAAAATGTGCCAAAGGGTTGAAATTGCCTTTGTAAATGTAGTACATTATTTTTGATATGTTTGTGTTAGTATTTTCAAAAGGTGTTCTGGAAGGAAAATATGTCTTGAACAATACTGGTTGACCCTTAAATTATAACTAGTGTTATGTAAATCACAGAAAATTAAATTATATTGTTGAGTCTGTTTACCTGGAAAAACTTAGAAAATTGAATAAGTCAAGAATCTGACTATGCTCATCACCCAAAACCACGTTTTCCTAATTGCTTTTTCACCTGGGTTAATTTATGGCAATGCCAGTTATATATGCGACCACGAAAAATGCGTGCGGCACTTTTTTTGGACACTGATGATGGTAACATTTGATGTTGTCTTATATTGCCATCCTCTTATCATAGTATAACTTAACTCATTTTAGTGAGTTTGTTCATTAAACAGTTGTGCTCACTATATGGTAATGGTAATGGTAATGGTTTATTAACACATTTAGTAGTAGTTACGCTAATTTACAATGTGTTCACAAATTTGGGTATAAAAAGGTATATATTCTATATATTTACATGTCATTCATTAAAATTAAAGTATTACTAATCTATATCTATTTATAATATGTATAAAAACCACTAATGCATACCTATTTGTACATTAACTGATAAAATTTTAAAAATGATGATCCTAATCAACTAATCAACTAATCTAGAATTATATAAGTATATACAGTAAACTAAAGGACTGTGTTTAAA